AATCCATTGGAACAGCCACTTGGATGAGATGAACTGAACAAGCAAGTCCATTATGCCAGGACTCCCAAACTGTGGTCCACTTTCTAATGGTCTGCTGAGAGCTGGCTGATCACATGGTTTTGGCTATTCTAGTTGTTTCCAGCGGCAAAATTGCATCGAGAGATTCCTGCTACCCCTTCCAGACAGCTGCTGTGGTTCCCGGACGCTAACAGTTATGTGATTGGGAATGGGCACAGAGGAGGCTGAAAAGCTGTTCTCTGTAATGAGTTCTAGCCCAGTGGTTCTCAACCAGGGGTATGCAGAGGTCTTCCGGGGGGGTACCTCAACTCATCTAGATATTTGCCTAGATATTTACAACAGGCTACGTAAAAATCACTAGTGAAAGCAGAACAAACTAAAATTTTATACGACTTGTTTATAATGCTCTATATGCTATACACTGAAATGTAAGTACAATATTTGTATTCCAGTTGATCTTTGTTAAAATTATATGGTAAAAATGAGAAAGTAAGCAGTTTTTCAGTACTAGTGTGCTGTGACGCTTTTGTATTTTTATGCCTGATTTTGTAAGCAAGTAGTTTTTAAGTGATGTGAAACTAGGGGGGACGCAAGACAAATCAGACTCCTGAAAGGGGTATTGTAGACTGGAAAGGTTGAGAGCCACTGTTCTAGCCCACGCTAAGGAGGAATCCTGCATTCTGGACTTTGTACCAGGCCGCCCAGAAGAGAAAATTCAATCTCCTAGAAGGCCGGAAGAGAAGTGAAACAAAGAAGGATCGTAATCTTAATGCAATAGCGAAATGAGAGACCCAGAACCACCCAGCCTTCTGGTGCCTTACAATTTGTATGTAATTTCAATTTATTGGAAGATGATTGTCCTAACAAAATAGAATTGTCTAGTTGAGTAAAGTTAAAATAGCTGTCAAAAATGAATTGATATAACTAGGCTCTTAGCCAATTTTTGTAAACCTGACAAGGAGTCAGGATACTGTTATATGGGTGGGGCTGGTTAGTCTGTTTTTCTTTTGTGTTTGTCTTTTAACATTTGCAGATAGCTTTATGTCAACACAATTTAGAACCTGGCTTGTCCCTGACTTCTTACTTCACTTGTTGAGCAACGAGGCCGAGTTCCTGTAGCTCAAGAGATCATGAAGGGGAATGGACTAGTCTAGTCAGAAACCACTCTGGCATCCCACCAGCCTTTTAATTCCTCTTTCCCAGCCCCTCTCGAATCACCCCACACGAGTAGTGGGACGTGAACCAAACGTAAAGGCCAGACAGCGACCTGCAAATGGCTAACTGGACATATTTGTCTCCCCAGTCGTGTTAATTGAGTTTGCAACTTAAACACAACTGGACAGCAAATCAGTGAAAAATGGGTCCTCTGCAGTCTGAAACACCACAATTTTAGCTTGTCGGAGCCAGTTCAAGAGTCCTTTGCACTGGTTTCTCTGTTGCATCAGAGGAGTCGGTGGTTTTCAGAGACTGTTAGAAAAGGGGAAGTGTCAACTCAATTTTCCCTTGTCCCCCACGACTATAAAATAGCACCAATGAGCATGATGCATGCAATTTGGGGAGGGTGGGGGGCATAGTGGGCTGCTCTTGCATCTCAGCTCCCAGCCAGTCATGTATTCTAGCAAATGCTCTGTGATAGCTGCATGCTGTTCTGTCCCAGGCATCAAAGTTCCTTGGGAGAATCTCTGAATGTCAGCCCTGGTTTTTCCGGTAGACACACACACAGGTAGACCTCAGGACACAGTCACACCCTTGTGAGTAAATGCTTGCTTCTTAGATTAATTACGGTTTCTCCATTTGCTCCCAGAACTTTAAAATTCCAACAAGACTTTATATGTAATACCGGAGCATTACAGATTTCCAGATCTTGTGGTGGCATGGGAGCGCAGAAGGGGACAAGTAGTGGAGAAAGATCACACTGGTGGTGATCCAGACTCCTGAGTTAGTGACCACCAGGGGTAGGGAGATGGTTGGGTCCCTGGGGGGAGAACAACCGTGCAGCAGGGGCCTGAATCTCAGGGACTGGATTCTGTGTATCGCTACCAGTAGTTTGTGGAAGCCCAAGACTATAACAAGAAAAACAGGCTTCGTTCTAGTTGTTCCTGAATTGCCTAAATACCACTTCATGAAACAAGGTGAGTGAGAAGTAATCGTGTCGCTAATATCCTAGGACCAGCGCGCTACCCCAACACTAAATATCCTATGTGCACCAAACACTTAATGCTGTTGTCGTGTCTGATCTCCCAAGCAAAGCAGGTTTGGGCTAGATCATTTCTGGAATGGGAGGTCTCAAGCAAACACCTAGTTGCTGCCATAAATGGTGTTAGCAAATAATCATATGCTTACTCCCCTCACAAGACGCTAGAAGACCCATACCAGACAACTTAAAATGAGAGCCAGAACGAACCTTCCACTCTTCTTTAGCATCAAGGTAACAGAGTGATATAAAATAACCCCACTCAGAAACGGATGTTCAAGACGCACCAAGCCCTAAAATCAAGTCCGTATCCAATACATCAGGAAGAACAGCAAATAAACAGTAACACCCCCCCCCCACACACACAGCAAGCAATAGTGATATACAGAAACGTCACCGTATCAGACTGCCTTAGCGCAGTGAGACACACACACCATAGGCAGGCTCTGACAATCACACGCTGGACGTGCAGGGAGGAACAGCTCTGTTAACCATGTGACACAGTAAAACGGAGACATTTTCCGTTCCACCGTCCAAACTCCGAGCTGTGGGGAAAGTGCTTCCTCAGAAGGTTTCCTGTTGAAATGCAAGGAAGGAAAATTGAGCCCGGCTCTAAAAGGGGCGACAACAGTAACTGTAAAATGTGGCAACCAAGTAGAAACAAATAAGATGGAGTGGACACCTGGTACAAAAATCCATCATTTCTGTGTCTGTCTGACCGTACTGTATCTTGTATGCTTGCTCATCTCAATAAGCTTTGTTTAAATGAGTGATCCAATAGGTGGCGCTCTTCCCTCTGCGTCAGTGCTGAGCAAATGCCCCAGCATCGTGGCAGATGGACCTATGCCACTGCACGTACTTCGTACAGTACCTAGCACAGAGGTGCTACCATAGCCCAAATCTTTCTGATGAAATGTGAAACGGAAACACTGGCCTCTTACGGTGGTTAAAGATCGAAGCCCTTCTTGCGAGAATAAAACGCAAGATAGTAGCGCTGGTGTCCTAGCTGAATTCCAAATGGCTAGTCGTTCCTCTTTCCTAGTTTTCGCTGCAGTTTCCGATGGATAACAATCGAAAGGTCTCGGGCCTGCTTCTCAGCATGTTCAGTGGCCAGGGCCAAGGATATCTGAAAGCTCGCCTGACGCTCCAGAGTGAGGACTCTGGGGTCAACAGCTCTGCTCCTCCGGCACAGAGAAACATTCTCCCATGAGGGTAAAGCGCTTCAAGAGACAGCTTTCTCAGCGCTTCAAGAGACAGAGCTTTCTCAGGGGCTGGTCTGAGACTGGAACAAACTCCCCTAGGAACTAAGGACCATCATAAACCTTATCTTCTTCCTCTCCAAGTGCAAGGTGCACCATTTTGACCAGCCTTTTCTAGCAAACAGAGATCAGTGTGTACATAAAAAATTATCTCTCTCTCCTTATCAAACCCAAACACTCCCCTGCATGCACAATTCTCCTCTTGGGGGAAGGATAAGAGAATGAGCCACAGGTGACAGCTGTATTAAGCAATGTGAATAACGTGACTGGAAGGTGCTCAGATATCAGGGTGGATAAAAATCAATGCTTTTTTTTTAAATAAAAAAAATTGGATTTATTTTTATTTACATCAGATTTTTTTGATAGGTGTTTTCCTCAAAATGCATTTTATCTAAAGATCGTTTTAATTAAGATACATTATAGCTCAAAGATATCTCATCATGGAATAAGGATTATAAATTCTAATTCTATAGTATGAGACAATATATTCATGTCATGTTTAAGAAAAGTTTTGTAAATGAGTTCCAAGTTCATGGATTAGGGACCAATCTTATGGGGGTCCAGGGGCTTCTGTATAGTATTTAGTACAATCTTTCTATCTACCCAATGGGACTCAGTGCTCAGTCTAGAAGATGCCATCAGAGATGCTTAGTTTTGCAGTTCTCAAACTGTGGATTTGTGTTTCCAGAGATAACATGCTTGTTAACAGCAAAAATGTTTTCAAATAAATAAATAATATATAGAGGTAAAAAATAACAGACCTCAACCCTATTGTCCCTCTGAAAATTTGTGTACAGAGTGTCAATCCCTTACCTCTCTCTAAAAGTGCAAAGTTTCAAAAAGTTCAATGAATAGAAGATTGTTGAGTGGTGTTGCTGTGCACTGTTAAACAGCTGGCAAGCTGCTCCCCAGAGGTTGCTAGATCCCAGTGATGAGTGAAATGATCCTTGTGAGTAGTTTGTATATGAATTTACAGTGGAGGTGCCTATACTGCAGTGATGAGGGCTATATAAGAACCACGCTAGGTAAGCTTGTCAGGAGTGTTAGAATGGTAAGCGCTGGTAAGAGCTCTATGAATGTGTGTAAACTACTGGTCTCCTCCTGAGTGCATTCAGTTACTATATACTGTGTGTCATTATGTTTCTCCTTCTCTCTCTTCCCCACAAATCCAGAGAGTTTCCAGGATGCGGGAACATCGTGACATTTGCACAGTTCTTATTTATAGCAGTGGAAGGCTTTATCTTTGAAGCCAACTTTGGAAGGAAGCGGCCAGCCATCCCAATAAGGTACAATAGACTTAAATGCTTTCACTGGGCTTGAATTGACTAGATATCTGTTATCTCTTAGCGTTTAATAAAACAGCTTATCCGTTTCTCCTGTCTAACCCTCATTCCCTTTCCAGAGTTAGCAATGCTTCATTCAGAACCTGTCATGCCTGGTAAAATATTAACTCATTTATCTAGGATTATTAATAGGAAACTGCTTTCAGAGTCTTCTCTCCTAAGGAACATGTTAGTAGCTGTTTAGTAAGCGAGCGTTACTTTTAGGGGACTGGATCTCTCTGGGGTTTGGTAATGAGTGGGGCCCACTGGCAATCTGGGGGGAAAGAAGTCTTGCAAAATTCTTGTTTTACCCCCTTATTCTGTAGGGGACAATCCTGCATTGGCAGCAGTGTGGCCTAGAAAACCTGATGGGTTTTTCCACCTCTAATCCCTGTGACTTGATGGCCTGTGTGAAATGACTTGGTTTCAGACTGGTGCCTAGTAGATCGCTAAATACCAGCCCATTCGCAGTTGGTCCCATTGTTGGCAGCCTCCTTACGGAGACTGAATTCTCCACCCATCCTGGAGCAGATGTGGGAACACTGTTGCATGTAAGGGAGGGAGACTTGCACCGCCTGGGCTCTTCCTGCTCTGAGGATGAGCAGAGAACTTGAGTCTCTGGGGCTGACAGATTAGCGCTGCCCAAGCATTGTGTGAGACAACATCTAGAAGGAACTTCCCGGTCATCAACTTGCTTTGCTGACCAGCCCCTTGTGTTTCCCTTTCAGATACTACTTGATCATGGTGGCCATGTTCTTTACAGTCAGCGTCGTGAATAACTATGCCCTGAATCTAAACATAGCCATGCCGCTGCACATGATCTTCAGATCAGTGAGTACCTCTGCCAGCCTTTCTCTCCGTGTGCACAATGTCCCAGGGGAGCAGAACACATCCGTTCAGTCTCCCTCCAGGCCCGGTGGAGGAGCAGAGCTTCGCATTGACATGGAGTGCTTTATAGCTACAATACGTTGTACATAGATAGCAGTGTTATTAATGGAGAAAAGATGGCCTTGTGGTTAAGGCATGGGGTCAGGGCTTAATATGGGTTCAGTTCCCAGTTCTGCAATAGACACCCTTTGAGAATTTGGGCTGTTCCCTTATTGCCTGTGCCTCAGTTTCCCCATCTGTCAAATGGGAATAATACAACCACCTGACAGGTGATTTGAGAACTAGTTAATCTTTGGGAGGCTTTTGCACATTACAGGGAGGGCCATTGTCACACACACACCTGGCTGTCAGGGCTGGGAACTTGTTTGTCTGCTCCTTATTCCGGGGGGCATCAAGGCCTGGAGAAGCTTCCTTCTTACAGATGGGGAAACTGAGGCATGCAGAGGTTGAATAACTCACCTAGGATCACAGAGGGAGTTGGTGTTAAAGCTAGTATCTAGACTCTGGAGTTCCTGGCTCCCAGCCCTGCATTCAGACTGCAAAACAACTTGCTTCTGTTTCATGTAAAACCCCTGCATTTCACTGGTAATGTGACCTATTCGTCTGTTTGGCACAGTATAGGATAGGTTTGCAAAGACTGCCCAGTATGAATGCAGTCCGGGGGAAGGATATGTGAGTTTGCATGTGCAAACACTCAGTAGCTATTTTTTAGTTGTACTGAGCGTGTTGGTAGCACGTCTGAAAAGTAAATTCAAGTTTTGCCTGCTCTTTACATCTCTAGTTCCCTACAACTTGCGGATTCACTGATGTGTTTCTTATGGTGCTTCATAGGCACAGAGCACTGTACAAAAGGTGAATTGTGCCAAAATAAAACTACTAGCATGAAGAGATGTATTAACCCAGGGGTGGGCAAACTACGGCCCAGGGGCCACATCCGGCCCTTCAGGTGTTTTAATCCGGCCCTCAAGCTCCTGCTGGGGAGCGGGGGTTGGGGCTTGCCCAGATCCATGCTGTGGCTCTGCGTGGCTCCTGGAAGCAGCAGCATGTCCCCCCTCCAGCTCCTACACGTAGGGGCAGCCAGGGGGCTCCGTACGCTGCCCCCACCCCGAGCGCTGCCTCCACAGCTCCCACTGGCTAGGAACCGTGGCCAATGGGAGCTGTGGGGGCGGTGCCTGGGATCGGGGCAGTGTGCAGAGCCGCCTGGCCGCGTAGGAGCCGGAGGGGGGACATGCCGCTGCTTCTGGGAGCTGCTTGAGGTAAGTGCCACCAGGAGCCTGCACCCCTGACCCCCTCCTGTGCCCCAACCCCCTGCCCTAGCCCTGATCCCCCTCCTGCCCTCTGAGCCCCTTGGTCCCAGCCCGGAGCACCCTCCTGCACCCCCAACCCCTCATCCTCAGCCCCACCCCAGAGCCCACACTCCCAACTGGAGCCCTCATCCCCCCCCCCCGCACCCCAACCCCTTGCCTCAGTCTGGAGCCCCTTCCCAAACCCTGAACTCTTAATTTCTGGCCTCACCCCAGAGCCCTCACCCCCTCCCACACGCCAACCCCCAATTTCATGAGCATTCATGGCCCGTCATACAATTTCCATACCCAGATGTGGCCCTTGGGCCAGAAAGTTTGCCCACCCCTGTATTAACCCAATGAGCCATGAAATGTACGAACAGGATCATTTGGGTAAGAAGATGTCACCTGAAAGCTGAGCCCCACTTCAAGGAAACGAAACCCTTCTCACCTCCTCCCTTCTGCAGCACCCTGCCCTGTTAAAGGCCCACACAGCATGAATGTGCGTGCGCACGCTGCTAGTCCTTCATGCGCCCCTAGGGGGTGCACAATGCTGCCCCGTCCATGTTACTCTCGCAAATTTTAATGTCTGCAAAACAGTGGCCAGGTGAACTTACATTAAAGCAAAAAGGAAATGTATGCTTGAGTATCAGGTATCGCGTACTAGGCTGTGGAGTAACCTTCCGTGAGAAGCAGTGGATGGCCAATGGCTTGACACATCTTAAATCTAGACTGTTTTTTAAAAACAATAAAAGAGGATACAATCTAGGAACCAGTCCTGTGCTGAGCTAGATAACCTCGTAGTTCTCTCACCTAAACATTATCATTCCTGAGCCATCCCCAGATAGATAGAGGACCTAGGCCTATTCCCTACAATGTTGATGCCAGAAACTCTTTTAGTTTGTTCTTTTCCTGAACTGCCCTTGTAACTGTTTTAGCGTAAATACGACAAGGAGAAAGCCTAAATTTCCCTGCTGCATCCACATGTCCTATTACTTCTCTTCTCTGGGTCTAATGAGAATCCGTCCCTTTCTGATTTCGGTCTCTCACTGTCCTTCTCTTGAGGCTGTTATTTCTATTAGTGAACTGTACTTACCTGTTCAGAGCACACAGGATTTCTCGTGGAATGTGTTTCTATATCTGGGAGGGTGCCTGAGACACTGACCTTGTTTTGCATTTCTCTCTCCCCGCTCCCCAGGGCTCTCTAATAGCGAGCATGGTTCTAGGCATCATCATTTTGAAAAAAAGGTAAATTAATACCTCCCAGTTTCATCAGAAAAATTTATGTTATTGACTTAGTCAGTGCAACATCTGATAGTCAGCGGCATTTGGCACATGTGAAAAACTGTTCATCTGCAAAGCGCTTTAGACTTGATCTGTCATCCCTCGGTGTAAATGTTATCCTCCTCTCACTGATGGGGAAACTGAGGCACTGAAGGTAAGTGACTTGCCAGAGGTCAGGGCGGGAGTCCGTATCAAAGCTGGGATTGGCGCTCCAGCCGTACCTCTCTAAGGCAAACCTGAATAGGGAGCACTTCAGTACTACTGCTTTGCATTTCTGTATCACCGTCTGTCTGAGAAGTACAGTGTTTTATGATCATTAATCGATTAAGCCCTATATCACCCCTTACTGATAGGTAAGTAGTGAAGGAGAGTTGGTCCCAGGTTGCTGCTCGTGGGCTGGCCGTGTGATTATAAGTGACGGAGGAGCGATAGGGAAGAGAGTGCTTTGTCACTCCCTTTGCAGCCACCAGCCTTCCAGCTGAGGCCTGGGTAGGATTCCCTTCCGTGTGAGGTCTCGGCTTAAATATTTTTCAAGAAGCTTTTGTTTTTGCTGCAATAGGAGCGTGTGGGTCTTTGTCCCCCTCCAGTGACTGGTTTATGTAAAAGATAAGTTGACAGCTAAGCGAGCTTCAGATGCTCATACTGTTAGCGCTGATGAGCAGGGCTCGAGACGTGCTGCTGGCCCAGGCAGGAGTGGGGCTAGGTATTGCAGTAAGAGCTCTCTTCTGCTGACCTTTCCATCTGTGTGGGGGTATCAGGGAATGAAAAGTAAATGGCTCAGCAAGAGAGTAATCAGAATGACATGATCTTAAGGCTCCCTATCTTGTGATCGATCCCGGACTAGTTCTTGGAAAGAGAGCACTTAAATCTCTGAGCATGGAAAGGGCTAGAACTGAAAGAGCTTTTCCTTGGATCTTCTGTTCAACAGTTTCCAATCAGTAGTTACTCCAGATTTACACCAGGGTAACTGAGCAGAATCAGGCCTAATGCCTCTTCAGTGCAGCATTGGGTGAAAGCTCCCAGGTTGGAAAGGGTGGACTAGAATGCTGAAGTCTCTCTGTTCTTCTCTTGTTGCAGATACAGTGTGTCTAAATACACATCCATAGCCCTGGTGTCTGTGGGGATCTTTATCTGCACTTTAATGTCTGCAAAACAAGTGGTAAGGAATGCTTTTCAAGTGTCTGAGTCTGTACAGCTGGGAGCCCTATTAACAGTAGGAGCTGCCACTGATGCCTTAATCAGGCAATTCCCTTTGTATCAATGGGAAGAAAGTACACTGCATATTTTTTGTCTGTTTCCCTAGAGATCTTTCCCACAGTCAGACACCGGATTTTTGCTGGCCTTCACATTTTTTTTTAGTTCAAGGTGCCTTTTATGACATGCTGCTTAGTTTTTGCTTTTCCTACGGGCACACTGAATATCGAGTTACTTTCACCTGCAGAGGAAACAAAATAATTGGGGTTAATGTAATTGATTAGTAGCTGCTTAGACTGGCAGTGGCTATCTAAAAACCTTACTCTCAGCTTCCAGAACAGGTCTCTTTTCAAACTAGAATTTTCCAGGCCTGGCCCGAAATGAAGTGTGATTTTTATTTTTTGGGTAAGTTTGAGCATAAACAGGCTGGCAATTTTTTGCGAGCAAGGTTTCGGGGTGGGGAGAATACACACAAGTGTGTAACTTTTCTTGTTTGAGGTTTTTCCTTCTTGGTTTAACAGCTTTTACGCAGGTAAGGCCAGAAAATTGAAACCGACCATGGAGATAGGACTTAGAGAGATGCCCTTTCCAGTGTCTTGGTGAAAACTGATTTAATTTGGCCCAATTTTGTGGGTTTGAATAGTGTGTAAGCCCACTGCAGACTTGCAGTGACAATAACGCTTTATCATGGGGAAAATATACTTAAGAACAAAGGATCGGAAGGGACCAGAGAAACGAATCTCCTGCTGTCACAGGCAACTGTAGAGAGGAAAAACTTACAAGATTCATTGCGCAATAACTTTAAGCAGCTCTGTTGCTCTGATACAGAGACAGCTGCTTAGAATTAGTCTGCAGTGTAAGAAGCTGGGTTCTGTAAGATCCTTGCTTATTTAAATGCAGGTTCAGGAGATTAATGCATCCACAGATGCATTAAACAGCTGTACTTCTAGACTAGACTAGTAGTAATAATCCAAGTTAACTTTAATAGATCCACAGCAAATACTGGGAGTTAAGCATGTGCCACAGAGTGCAGGCTTGGGTATCGGCATATGTGAGTCTGTATCCCATTTTCAATAGACTCACGCCTGAATAAGTCTGTTTTCCACCCTGCAAAAGAGGCTGTGCATCTGCAGCTCCTGTCAGACTTGGGCTGTGCCAGCATGGTACTTTTTTATTATGATTGGTAATTGATTATTTTTTCCAAATACAACAAATGTCCCAAAATACCAGCTTCATCATAACACACACAGTCACTCAAGAGTTAGGATAAAGGGAGGGGAGGGGAAGCGACGTGTCTTCAGCCAGCGTGTTGCTTTGAAAGGGATGCTTTGCTGATCAGTCTTCATCTTCTGTCCAACAATTCCACTAAAGCAGGGGTGAAAGCCGTAACTGCCACATACTCTCTTTAACCAGTGAAGGGAGTGCAGAGGAAGGACACTCCGGGCTGTCTTTGATATACTGTTTGTATAGGTTTGGAACACAATCCATCAGCTATTGGGAACAGAGAGACAAACTTAGTCACTTGGAAACTCCCCAACTGCATCCATTATAATGATCTGACTCGCTTCTCCCCACCTTCCCTAGGCTTCTAAATCCAGCTTAAGCGAAGAGGACGGACTCCACGTCTTCATGTGGTGGCTGTTAGGTCTGTAAGTGCAGTGACGCTAACTGACTTTGCAATTATGTTGGTCGAAGCTGCTCTCACGGGGCTGATCTCCAGGCCTGCAGCTGTGCTTAAACGGCACGGCAGCAGAGAGCGGTCGGACACCCGGCTCCAGGGATCAGTTGCGTTTCTGCTATCGATTTAAGCAGACTCCCGTTGCCCTCTCTCACCCTGTTGATACAAGCCTATCACGTTGCAAAAAGTCGCTTGCAACCAGCTGGTCAAAGATAGTATCTGAAGTGTTTGTGTGAGGGGTGGGTTAGTGATGGAGCTGCGTTGCTCCTTTATCGGGTCCCTTCCCAGGTTACTTTTCCGCAGTGAATTTGAGAGATTCATATTAAGTCAAAAAGGGCAGAGTCTGATCTCCATTGGACGGGTGCCACTGATGAAACCAAGATTAGAATCTGGGCCTAGCTCTGTAAAGCAGACTCCCTATAGGAAACAGACATGGGAGGCGAACCTGAGAAATGATGGCTTCTGAAAATATCGCAGCATCCCGTCGTCAGCTGAAGCTGGGGAGGGGGAGTAAAAAACTGCGTAGAGGTCAAAGGGCAATCTCAGTCCTGGGTGTCACTCCATTGCCTACAGCAGGATTAGACCAGGGATGTATTTGGCCCCATGTGTATGCCAACAATATTGGCCCACTTCCTCCCTACAATAGAAGGGCCTTCTTGTTCACCCAGGTGCTGCAGAGGAGCCTTTTTAGAAAACTGGCCCTGAAGAGTTTAATATGGCCAGTCTTCACTTTCTGGCTGCTTTCAGGGACTGGGTTTGATATCTTGAGGAACCCAATTTTGCATGTGGGGCAGTAATTCCGTCTGTGCGTGGCAGGGGCTGGCTTCCGATTTTCAATATTGGTCAAGGGGGTAACAACATCTAAAGCAGCTAAATCACTTTTGAAAATGGGCCTTAGGTGCTTAAATCCTATTGGCTTTCCATGAGACTTAGTGCCTAAGTCACATGGGTAAAATATTCAAAGACCCCTAACATCTTTCGGCTGCGGCACCGGTCTCTTGTGGGCTTTCCCATTCTCTTTCGTTTCAAGTCACACCCCGGAGATCTGCCTACGCTGATTGATTTGAGGTTTATTAAGCGTTGAGGCGGGGACAGTAAGGCTGCTTTTGTGTTACAGGTATCGCGGCACTGACCTTCGCCCTCCTGATGTCAGCCAGAATGGGGATCTTTCAAGAGACCATCTACAAACAGTTTGGAAAGCATTCCAAGGAGGCGCTGTTTTACAATGTAAGCAACTGCTGGCTTTATCTCAAACCAAACCATTTCGAATATAAATTTCATGCAGTTTTCCAGTCTGCTCTATGCGATAGAACCACTGACCTGAGTGGAACCTTTTTTTAGAAAGAATCTAGAGCTGAAGGCCCTGATCCTATGGTCAGAGCCATGCGGGCAATCCCTGGCCGTGCTCGGCACTAGGAAATGTTTTGTAGGAAATAATCCTGCATGATGATTTTATAATAAGTCTCTTCCCATTTCTACGTCCTATGATGCCAGGTTACTATACAGTAGAGGGGGTTGGGGAAATGAGGCTGGCATTGATCAAAAACTGTCCCCAAACCTCTCACTCAGGTGTTCGGCCCTTTAGAGCATGAGGGCTGGGTCAACGAATGCATTTCATCCTGTCGTAATCCCAGGTTGCTCTGCCAAGAGTGACTGATAATTTTGACTTGGGGTAGGACGGATGGATAAACTGTACATGAGCTCAATTAGAACATTAAAGCATTTGTCCTTTAACATTAGTTGAAATGCACATACACTGGATTCTCTGCCTGGTGTCAGTTTAAAGCTCTGCATTGGATTTCTATCTCTTGCCATAGCATGCCCTGCCCCTCCCTGGCTTCCTCCTCCTCGCTCCGGACATCTACGCCCATGCTGTTCTCTTCAGCCAGTCTGGTGAGTTTTCTTTGTGCAAGTTGATGCTCTTGTGGGTTCCCTGCAGTGCAGGAATCTCTGGGTGAGACTCTCTGGCTGGTGATTATGTAGGTCAGCTTAAGTAATTATAATGTTCCGTTCTGAACTTAAGTCTGTGAATTGCTATGGAGAGTGCTTTAACCCAGCAGAGGGATTAGAAACTCGTCAAGTTCCCAACCCTGCTAATACACACATGCTTAACTTTATCTATCATCAGTAGTCCCGTCAAAATCAGTGGGTCTGTTTTGTGCGCATTAAGTTACTCACACGCAGAAGTGAAAACCTGAAAACTGGTGAATGTTATTGTTAAATAAGCCCCACCTCACAGACACAGATCCCCAATTTTATCTGACAGCCAAAAACTTTTCAGCATGATGCTTTGTAAACAGGTCCCCCTGTAATGCACAGCTCATCTTCCCTAGTCAGTCACAGCCATTTAAAAATGAAAATCCTTCTCTCCAGCGGAAAAGAAGGGCTGTTCTTCCTCCCCCATTCAGCAAATCAAGTGATAACAGATTTCATTAAACCATTCACATAAGTGATGCCGATGAGCACAGTCATGGGAATGAACAGGCCAGATTCTTTGGTTGAAATTGGCATAGTTTGGAAATTGGAATCAATGAAGCTGCAGAGGCTTATAGCAGCTGAGGATCTAGCCCATGATGCATGTCCAGGTAGATGACCTGTGTGAAAATGACAATGTTTTCATACAGCTTTTTCACGCAAACTTCTCCCGGCGGGTATTGCCAGCACAGAGTTGCCTTTGTGAGATTTCCTTTCCTCCCCAAAAAACTTGCAGAAGCACGTGCAAAGTGGAATTCATGTTCTCATTGCCAATAGCTGCTTGATAATGGGCCCCTCGTCAGCTGTGAATTCAGAAATGCACAGCTCTCGTGGTGCTTATCACAGCAAAAGCTTTGCCCAGCGTCTGTGTGTAATGCACATACAGCAGGAGACACCAAACAGTGAGCAGTAAGAGATGCCACCTCACCGTGCTATTTCTGTCTAGCGATAAAAGTCAAGGTACCACACTGGATCAGAACCAGAACTGGGCCCCTTTCCAGGTGGTAGGGCCCAGTGCCGCTGGAGCATGTGCAACCGTTACTGCTGTCCAGTCTGCTTTAGAATGCCATTGAATCTGAATACCCTTCGGTCTCCAGAGCTGTGGTGTGTTTATCCCTCGCACGGATACAGCATGGTCAGTCGCAGTGCAAGCTCCCCACAGCTTTTCCGGCAGGCCTCGCCGAGTGAGACGCAATTGAGAGGCTTCCCTGCTGACCACCAAGAAGGGGGCTCGTTGCCATTGTGTGTGTTTTTGAGCTTTTAAAAGCTGGGCCGAGATCAGACATGGACCTTTCTTCTTTCCTCTCTCCTCGCAGAGCCATTCCAAGTCCCGGGGATCGGGCTGACCTTGCCCATCATGTGGTTCTACCTCGTCATGAACGTCATCACTCAGTATCCTTCAAACGCACTGGTGGTAGAACCAGGGCAGGCAGCGGGGATGCTAGTGCGTTGAGAAAACTGGGCCGAAAGATCAGTTGTGTAAAGCCTGCCGTGCGCTCTTAGACCTCCCTGAATTCAGAGCTAACGTCTCTGTAGCGCAAGAGGTGCTGTCAGCTGCTGAAGCAGCGTGCGTGTTGTTTCCAAGAGACCAGAGACATTGACAGGTGCGCTTGAGCTGATGTAAGGTACCGACACAGCAGCTAAACTTTTACTAGTAATAATTATTGGAAGTGTGCGCGTGAAGCTGGAAAAGGCAGGCAGAGAGGGTCCCGGCAGGGAAGCCTTTGCTCTCTGAATTCAGGCAGAATGCAGTGCGTGAAGGCAACAGAAGAGACGGAGACCCAAGCTTTTGATAATGGCTTGTTTGTTATGAACACACCTCAGCGATTCTGGGATGAGACAGACACTCCTGCAGTTTGTCACCGAGTTATGGCTTGCGGTTATTGTAAGCTCTTTATGTGGAAAGGGGGAGGGGTCTGTTTCTGTTCCCTCCCAATCTCTGTTCTGCAATGGCAACTTGTGTGCACCTGCGTATAAAGCAACAGTGGTTCATCTAGTACAGTATATCACCTCCTGTCGTACTGCAGCAAACCAATCCTCCACCTAGACCAGTATCCCTCTCTCTGACAGCAGCCACTGCAGGGTACTTCAGAGGACATTTGGAAAGAGACCCAGACAGCTGTGCATATATAATTTGAGTCAAGTAGGAGCAGAAGCCAGCCTAGCGTCCGGTGTGTGTGGAATGGCTTGACAACTAACTGGCTTTAGCACTTAGGCAACTCTACTTACCTATGATTGAGCTCTACCTTTGTCCTCTACGCTTACTGGGCCAGAGGAGGGTGGAAATATTCCTGAGAATACAAACACTCTTGCCTATCCAGGGGAAGGGGAAAGATGGATCAGCGAGAAGCTTCCTGATCATCCCCCCTCCTCCCCCGCCCTCCCAAAAGGCAGCCACCTGGCTCTGTGTCGAAATTCTACCACCCCTTTGTCTTCCCCCCCCCCCCCCCCCCCCCCCCGCTCTCTGTCCTTATTTCACTATTCCCTCTGCACCCCAGCTAGGAGCCCTTCTACTTACTGCTTCCCAAGCCTCTTGGTAAAAAAAAAAACCTCCTTAAACACGTCTCTTCTATATTCTAGCAAGGGGGCGTGGAGGGGAAGAGACTTCTCCACTCCAGCTGTTTATCAGCTTATGCCCTGCGGCAGGAGGATTGATAGCTCTTAGATTTAGCCTACCTGGTCTTGCAGCAGGTGCTGTTAGCATATCAGTGCAACTTTTTAACCCTTCTTTAAGAGAGCGGCTGCTCTAGCACCGTGTGTTTGGTTTTGAGATTATGATGGCTGGATTCTCAGAGAGCTCTGGCTGGTGTCGAAGACTGGGAGGATTCCTATAGACCGGGGTGGGCAAACTACGGCCCGGGGGCCTCATCCAGCCCTCGAGCTCCCGCCGGAGAACGGGGTCCGGGGCTTGCCCCACTCTGCACGGCTCCCAGAAGCAGTGGCATGTCCCCTCTCCGGCTCCTAAGCACAGGGGCAGCCACGGGGCTCCGCAAGCTTCCCCCACCCCAAGCGCTGCCCCCGCAGCTAGCATTGGTCGGGAACCGCAGTCAATGGGAGCTGCAGGGGCGGCACCTGCAGACAGGACAGCACGCAGAGCCACCTGGCCGCGCCTCCGCGCAGGGGCCGGAGGGGGGACATGCCACTGCTTCTGGGAGCTTCTTGAGGTAAGTGCTGCCCGGAGCCTGCACCCCTGATCCCCTCCTACAACCCCCTTCCCCAGCCCTGATCCCCCTCCCGCCCTCAGAACCCCTTGGTCCCAGCCCGGAGCACCCCTAACCCCTCATCCCCAGCCCCACCCCAGAGCCCACACCCCTAGCTGGAGCCCTCACCCCCTCCCGCACCCCAACCCCCAATTTTGTGAGCATTCATGGCCCGACATACAATTTCCATACCCAGATGTGGCCCTCGGGCCAAAAAGTTTGCTGACCCCGATCTATAGACACTGCAAACAGCTATGGAAACATATTAAGGGCTTAGAAGAGGAGAGTGAATTTTGTCTCTCTCTTTAAAGTCAACTCTTTCTGGGTGGGGGTGGGGGTGGAACTTGAGTATTCCCTTGTGGCTGGTGGCCTTAAGTCATGTAAGTCTAGCCCTGAATAATGTGGGGAATGAGACTACTAGCTCTTATACTTAAAGGCGCATGGTAGTGATCCCGAATCTCCTAGGGTTTGCCCTCCATTCAAGGACATCCTATCACCGCTTGTATTGGGAGAGCTGTAAAGGTGCGTGGACGTTGGTAGGAATTACCGGAGCGCCTGCAAACCCAGCTTCCGGGCACGGGGCATAGAGCAAAGGAGCAGAAAGATCTCCCAGCCGTGCTCCATTGGCTCGTTTGGATTGTGCATGAATGGCTGGCTGGAGCCTGGGGAGGGGGTAGCTTTGAGGTGCCTTTGCAGCTATGTTGGGCAGATGAGCCTATGTAGACTGTAGGCGATTGGGGCACCAGGCAGCAGGAGACGCACCTGTGGATATCTGTCATGGCTTTGAGCACGGGCAGTGTCTGTGCGTGCCATGAAACAGGGAGGAAGAACAAGCCAGGTGGGCAAATCAGAAATATGTTAGCATTAAAAGAACATGAGCAAACCCAGCTTCCTTCAGGAGTGAGAGGCCTTCGCAGAACTGGGAAGGGCGACGGGGACAGAGGGCCTGGGGGGTGCTGCAGGACTGGAGTGAGTTTAGCAGAGCTGAATGGGAGCCCATGGCTGGAGGAGCAGAGAGTGGAAGGAGGGTTGCAGGTCAGGACGGAGGGGCATCAGCAGAGCTGTGTGTGTGGGGAGAGCAGTACTGGAATAGGAGGGTGGGGTGGGGGGCAGGATTGAGGGGCATGTCCGTGTGGAGAGAGACCAGGAGGAGGGACTGTGGGTCAGGCTGGAGGGGCATTGGCAGAGCTGGTATGAATGGCAGGGGTTCTGCAGCTCAGAAAGTAGCACTTATCTGCACTGTCCCTGGCTCAAGCTGGTGCTCTCCGTTTCACTTTCCTAAGCCCTTCATCCGTCCGCTGGACCCACCCACGGCCCCCGTGTTCTCAAACAGCCGACCACCGGCATGTGCTTCTCTCCGCTCGCTGTGCCCTTAACTCGCCCCACCCAGATACGTGTGCATTCGGGGAGTCTTCAGCCTCACCACGGAGTGCACCTCCCTCACCGTCACCCTGGTGGTGACGCTGCGCAAGTTTGTCAGCCTCATCTTCTCCATCCTGTACTTCAAGAACCCCTTCACCGCCTGGCACTGGCTGGGCACCCTCTTTGTCTTCGTGGGCACGCTGATGTACACCGAAGTGTGGAACAGCCTGCGGCCTCTGCTGGCCAGACAGAGGAAGGAGGCCAAGAAGGAGTAAAGGACTGTCTCAGCAAGGACCTTTTGTTATGGTTTTACAGGGCAGAGCCCCAGGGACTCCCCTGCAAGGGGGGTCGTTTCTGTAATAGAGAGGAGCTGCTGGCTGTGCCAAGCTGGTGGGGAACGCGTAGCCTCCGCTGGGGAAGAGAACGAGTTTAGCGTTCGGCTCGCAGCCCCTTTCGTTTTAAAATGGCCCTTTTAAAATTTTTAATACTGTAAAGGTAACGTGCGTCCGTTACACGCTGTCCCTGCACTGGCCCCCTGCCTGTGGTGCTGTTGGCCCATCCTCCCTCCCCACCTGTCTGATTTAACCCTTTCGCTGCCGTCCATTACCATTCTCCTTACTTTACCGGCAGCCTGGTGCGCTTGTGCCCTGACCCGCCCGGTGCTGCTAACGCCCAGCGCAGCGTTGTAAAGTTCAAGCACAACGCGTGGATGCCAAGCCCTGGCTTCTGGACTGGCTCTCTAGCTGCAGGGGGCATTCAAAACAGCTGAAGCTGCCAGCTCTTCCCAAGTCCCCTGATCCCTCTGTGAAATCCTCTGCCGTTCTTGACTCATGGCTAGGAATGATGCATTCTGCATCGAAACACTCCATTTGTGATATCGCGTTGTGGGCTCTTCGGTGAGCCCAGACGTGAGAGAGAGAGAGTCACTGAGATGGGAGAGACTTTTAAAAGGTCAGTCACACTGTTGTCCTCGTCTCTTGCTTCACTGAGACACTGAAGTATGTAAGATCAGGACTTGACTCAGTTTCTCTTTGCGAGTCACCTTTTAAAGCGCAGGTGACAAATGGCACCAGGGGACTCCATCCTTGTCAGCTGGCCAGTTCCCAGGTCGCTTTTCCCCTCCTAATTGCTAGTGTAGTAAAGCCAGCCCTGAGCCAAAGAACCCAGCTGGAACGGAAAGGTTCTACAGGCCAAATTAGAGCCCCAGTGACCCCTAGCAACCCCAGAGTCCAGTGGGCTTGTCGAGATGAGACTGATTAGAATTTAGACTATTCTACTGGAGCACAAGATGCAATAGCCAAGAGTGAGCGAGCTGGGGGCTGTCGGCTCTGCGTGGCTAAGAGCAGAGGCTTTGTTTGTGTTACTGAACGCAGCCAGGGAACAGATCTCTCCAATCAGAAGGTGCCTCTTTTACATTCCCTTTGCAGAGGAGAACCACCCCGTTGAGTGACGTCCCCAGTGAAATTGCAGGTGTTTCCCCCGAAGGGCTCAGAGGAAGTCAGCCACGTTGAAGGCCTTTGCATGGCTGACTATCCCCTGAATCCCATGGTGAAGTTACTACTCAGGTCTAACATGGCTCTTTCCCTGTGGTCACCACTCTTTTCCCCTGTGCTGCTGCTGTTTGAGCCTCTGTAGCAACCAGGTGTGGCGCTCCTGTGACATCAGGTCCATAAAGATGGCTTCCCCTTAGTGTCCTGCTAAATGACATTGCAAGATCTAGCAGCCAACCTTTCCCATCCTCGCTTCGATTTGGGTTTGCCAGTTCTTTGTGCCGGACCATTTCTACCCACCTGTGTTAGGATTTATACATCCAGGCCCTGGGTGAAGTTTTGGATGCGTACATCCTACTGTTTGGCTGCAAGTGCACAGACAAGTTCTGTGCATTGTGGTCGACCTGGCCAGCAGTGTTCAGGAAGGAACTTGCACAGGGCTTGTAGCAATAGAGAATTAATAGTGTCCTTTCTAGGAGCAAGGAGGAAAGATAAATGTGCAGTAACAAACCCACAAGTGAGAACCTGCTGGGACTCTGCTAATGGGTAAAAAGTAAGAGGCATAAACCGATCTGAATACAAAGCCGAGATGTTCCTATATTAGATTACACGTACTGCCCTCAAGCAGCTAGCCGAGCATCTGACTAGAATAAGACGTGATAGCGGAAGAGCGAAAGCCATCATAAGTAGTTCTGATGGTGGCAGCCTTCGGCGGTCTCAGCAGAGAGCAAGGACTGAATTAGCCACCGTGATGACCTTTAGCAGAGGTCCCTATAGGTCACAGCTGGTGCCTTGTGGGAGAGCTTGCAATGCCACTTCCTGGAACGGTTCCATAGCCAGATTAGCTCCCCATTTTCAGCTGTCTTGACTTTGAGCAGCTGGTCAAACTAATTTACAGCTTCCTTCGCTATTTAAAGTGTCTGCTCATAACACAGACTAAATGAAAGGGGCATAATCAGCCAGCCTGTCCTTGTCATGCTCCATTGTTCCTAACGCTCTTTAAGTTTGACAACAAGACTTGTTCCATTGACTGCGCCTCTGATTTGTCAGAGAACAGCTCACAAGCAAACACTGCTATGTTACAATCAGTGTTCAAGTGGACGGGAAGGGATTCACTGCCTTTGAAGTTCATTGTTCCCTGTAACTGTGAAGCCGTCCATAGCAGGATGGAGTTGGCATCTACTTGCTCAGAGCAATATTTCTGAGGAGCAAAACTTCCTGCCTTCGGAGTGCCCCAAGTGGCACATGGTTTTCAAAGTATTTTCTCTGGCAGGGGGAGAATAAGCCTGCACGTTCACTAGACTGTCTATCCCTCCCGCCCACAAATAACTTGTTTTAAACCCTGCTTCAGCTCATCAGCTGGTATATACATACCCTGGGAAAGACCAGCCCAGAAGTAAGATTTCCATCTTGATCTTCATTGCGGGGGGGGGGGGGGGGGGCGAAGCTTTTTACACAGACTCAGAGCAGGGAGTGTGTGCAGCACAAGTAGAATTCAGTGTTAGAGCAGCAGTAGAGCTTGTAGATCAGAGTGGAAATATGGCATGAGGCTGAGACATGGAGTCAGATTCAGCACTGGCCTCCACTCCACATGAAACCAGTTTACACTAGCTGTGAATGTGGCTCAAGTAGTTTGGGTTCACTGTTGCCAGCCAAACAATAGCTTGGCAAGTGTAAAAGTGAATGTAACGTAGTATTGTACATAGGCTGCTCTCATTTATCAGCTCCACTCTATGTGGTCTCTTGTTTCAGTTTTTTTTGCCATGTTCTGTATTTGGATTTTATTTGAATGAAATCAACGTGATGTTTTTACATATACAGTATCTCTGTTTACAAGACAGTCTAGGTGTCGCAGAGTAGTTATCACCAGACACCGGTAGTGATGGCTTCCCTTCTGTATTCTAGGATCTCTAAGTGATAGTCTCTATAAACTCATGAGAGGCAGAGGGGAAGGAAAATGCTGAGACAACCTGGACTATCTAGAGACACTCTGTCAGTATCCTCACGGTAGGGGTGGTGGACTTGTTTTTAAAATGTACACTTGAATGACCGACAGTGATTTAGCGCATATGCAAATAGACACTTGAAAAAGCCCAACCCTGAAGATCTGAAATGCTTTCTGAATGAAAGTAGAGATTTAGGGGTTTTTTCTTTTGTTAAATAAATCTGCTCCTGACCCTTAGCTTTTGTTGTGCCTTTTACTGTTTAATATATGGAGATATACCTATCTCATAGAACTGGAAGGGACCCTGACAGGTCATTGAGTCCAGCCCCCTGCCTTCACTAGCAGGACCAAGTACTGATTTTTCCCCAGATCCCAAAGTGGCCCCCTCAAGGACTGAACTCTCAACCCTGGGTTTAGCAGGCCAATGCTCAAACCACTGAGCTATCCCTACCGCCGGTATGTTCCTTCTGCTGAACACTCTTTGCTAAGGGAAGTAGACCAGGTACTGCTGCCATGAAGTCATACTGCCTCCAATAGGTGGGCTTCAGAGCAGGCTCTCTGGTTTCAGGGTTAACCTTCCCTCCCGGGAGCAGCCAGACAGCCCCAGCGTGTGCGGATGACGGTGTGCCACGGCTCAGTCCAGAAGGTCAGTAACTGGTCTCAGTGTTGGCTTCCAAACAAAAATGAACGTTGAGCAGCCAACGCCACGTGAGCAACCAAGGAGCCCTGGCCTTCCTGCTGCTACCAGATCCAATTCTGGAGGATCTTGACTGTCCATCAGTAAAGAACATGCACTGAGGGGGAACAGAGGATGGCAGCCGAATCAGACTTAGAATGGGGTGGTGGAGACTAGGGGTTTTTTTTCCAGTGGGGCAGAACCCCCCATCTCTACTTGAAGTCAGTGGGAGCTGAAAACCAAACTCTTTAGTTTTCTTTTCTATCTGGGAGGGCAAGGCTGATTTGAAAGCTAATTGCTCTAAAGTTAGACTAAGAGCAGTGGCTACTTTAGCTTGTTCTAAACTCAGATTCAACACAATCCCTATCAGCCTACCCATCGGTGTCTCATACTCTAAACAGAACAGCCCTGTAACGTAGGGCAGTGCTGGTCACCCCAGTTTACAGATGATGAACAGGGGCACAGAGAATTGAACCCAGGTGTCCTGAGTCGCACCCTAGCCATACGACCAACGTTTTGGAAAGGAACCTCACCCAGGTAGCAAACTGGCAGGGAGCAACTGGCTTCTTTTGAAGGGCTAGGACCTAGCATATGGATGGAAAGTCATTGTTATCCTAATGTTGTCTTAGAATTCTGTATTGTTACAGCCCCGACAACTGTCCCACAGCCTTCTCCCACACCTGGCCTATCCCTTAGAAGCAAAACTCCACCTCACACAACGCACGGTTAACCTGTGGAACTCATCGCCATGGGATGTTGAGCTGGCAAAAGTATAACTGGGTTCAAAAAAGAATTAGAGAAGTTCATGGAGGAGCGGTCCAGCAATGGCTATTAGCCAAGATGATCAGGGATGCAACCTGTCCATACGCCTGACACATGAGCCCAGATTCTCAGAAGTTGGGTGCCTAAAGTGAGATGCCCCAAGTCTTTATTAAGCCAACTCACTAAGTGGGCCAGTGTTTAGCGTGGGGACTGCTGGGGGCTCAGCACTTCTGAAAATCAGGCCTCGTATTGAGTTGCCTAAATATCGACTTCACTGCCTAAAGTCAGGCTGCTACCTTCTGAAAAGCTTGGTATACAGCCGTGCTTTGTACTTTTGTTCGTATTTTGTTCAGTCCCGCTGTTTGGCTCTCGCTATCCAATGAAGACATAAGACAGACCCTCATACAGGCTTTCCACTATTAAAGCCAAGTAGTGGGGAACGTGAGTTGATAAAGAAGCGGATGACCGAGGTCCTTCTATACGCTAGTGAAGGCTAAATCACTTTATAAAGGGATAATGTGCTAACGAAGATACCTCTTCAAAGCCTGGCCGTAATTTCATGTTTAACATACACGCCTATAAAACCCACATATTACACATTTAATAGCTGCACTTAATTCCAGAGCAGTTATGTCGTCTATATTTCTAATTTAACAAATCATCTTTCTCCCCTAACATTGCAGAGGTCTGATTAAGAAGTCCCCATCTGCTGGGCTCTTCATTCATAAAAGCTAGAGGTTTTAGCGTGAAATCTTTGCCTTTCAGTGAGTGTGCTTGTGTTTATTAATGACTTCAGTCTGTCTTCAGCCCTTCCCACTGTGCAGGTCGAGGGAACAAGGGACTTGTAAAGCAAAAAGAAACTCTTAAGGTTCCTTTGGAGATCTGACTAAATCCTGGTTGCTTTTGAGGTGTAAAACCGGCTCCTGTCACTAAATTAAACAAGAGGGGAAGAAGGTGATTCTGCGAGCAGTAAAGATGTCTTCATAAATCACACCTGACAGCACGGTTCATTTTTGTGGAGCCTCGTTCATTACAGTGAACATAAATCAGCAGCTGCAGGGGCCAGGAAGATTAAAAAAAAAGGTGAGATTTACTGACAAGGGAAATGGGGGAGGGGAAATAATTTGCATTGTCACAGTTCAGGGCAACTGCACCTCCCCACCCCCCCTTGGGGTCCAGCATGGGCTCCTACTCTTAGGCCTCCAGCACCCCAGCTGTCACCTCCCTTGGGCAGAGACCGCATCTCTCTCCCTCCTGGCCAGTGTATTTCCAGGTTACACAGGTCCTTGTTTACGCTGTGAGTTCCCTAGCAAGTCAGATTGCCTCAGCAGCCCTGCTTTGGTTGCCTTTGCCTCAGAAGTGATAACAGCGCAATTACTATAGAATCATAGAATCTCAGGGTTGGAAGGGACCTCAGGAGGTCATCTAGTCCAACCCCCTGCTCAAAGCAGGACCAATTCCCAATTAAATCATCCCAGCCAGGGCTTTGTCAAGCCGGGCCTTAAAAACCTCTATGGATGGAGAGTCCACCACCTCCCTAGGGAACCAATTCCAGTGCTTCACCACCCTCCTAATGAAATAGTGTTTCTCAGGGCTGGTCTACACCGGGGGAGCGATCGATCTAAGATACGCAACTTCAGCTATGCTATTCGCGTAGCTGAAGCCGAAATATCTTAGTTCGACTTACCTGGCCGTCCTCATGGCGGCAAGTCGACCGCCGCGGCTCCCCCGTCAACTCCTCTTACTCCTCCTGCCGAGGTGGAGTACAGGCATCGATTCGGGGATCGATTTATCGTGTCTAGACGAGACGTGATAAATTGATCCCTGATAGATCGATTACTACCCGCCGGTCTGGCGGGTAGTGTAGTCATGGCCCTAATATCAAACCTAGACCTCCCCCACTGCAACTTGAGACCATTGCTCCTTGTTCTGTCATCTGCCACCACTGAGAACAGCCGAGCTCCATCCTCTTTGGAACCCCCCTTCAGGTAGCTGAAGGATGCTATCAAATCCCCCCTCACTCTTCTCTTCTGCAGACTAAATAAGCCCAGTTCCCTCAGCCTCTCCTTGGGGTGATTTCAGTCGGATCCTGACCCTCAGGGGTGTTGGGTCCTGCCTGGCATTCACCCCCGCAGTGGTGGCTCTTGCAGCGCCTGTGCTGTGGGGCTGACTGGGCTTGGCTTTCTGCTCCGGGTGTTGCAACCCCTGGGGTTGCAGTGCCGCTCAGGTTTGGGGCCACCAAATCAAATTAATAGGCAGTGGGTTTAAAACAAATGAAGTATGTCTTCACACAACACGCAGTCGACCTGTGGAACTCCTTGCCGGATGATGTTGTGAAGGCCAAGACTATCACAGGGTTCAAAAAAGAACTAGATAAGTTCCTGGAGGATAGGTCCATCCTCCAGGGAAGAAGGAGTGCTAGGCAGAGATGGGCTCCACTTAACGAAGAGAGAGAAGAGCATCTTTGCAAGCAGGCTGGCTAATCTAGTGAAGAGGGCTTTAAACTAGGTTCACCAGGGGAAGTGTGATGCCGGGAGGAAGCACAAGCAGGAGAGCACAAGAGGGGAGGACTTCTGACTCATACTGAGAAAGCAGGACGATCAGCGAGTTCTCTTAAGTGCCTGTACACAAATGCAAGAAGCCTGAGAAACACGCTGGGAGAACTGGAAGTCCTGGCACAGTCAAGGAATTATGATGTGATTGGAATAACAGAGACCTGGTGGGATAACTCACATGACTGGAGTACTGTCATGGATGGATATAAACTGTTCAGGAAGGACAGGCAGGGCAGAAAAGGTGGGGGAGTTGCATTGTATGTAAGAGAGCAGTATGACCGCTCAGAGCTCCAGTATGAAACTGCAGAGACTCTGGATTAAGTTTAGAAGTGTGAGCAACAAGGGTGATGTCGTGGTGGGAGTCTGCTATAGACCACCAGACCAGGGGGATGAGGTGGACGAGGCTTTCTTCCAGCAACCAACAGAAGTTACTAGATCACAGGCCCTGGTTCTCATGGGGGCTTCAATCACCCCGCTATCTGCTGGGAGAGCAATACAGCGGTGCACAGACAATCCAGGAAGTTTTTGGAAAGTGTAGGGGACAATTTCCTGGTGCAAGTGCTGGAGGAACCAACTAGGGGCAGAGCTCTTCTTGACTTGCTGCTCACAAACAGGGAAGAATTAGTAGGGGAAGCAAAAGTGGATGGGAACCTGGGAGGCAGTGACCATGAGATGGTCGAGTTCAGGATCCTGACACAAGGAAGAAAGGAGAGCAGCAGAATACGGACCCTGGACTTCAGAAAAGCAGACTTTGACTCCCTCAGGGAACTGATGGGCAGGATCCCCTGGGAGAATAACATGAGGGGGAAAGGAGTCCAGGAGAGCTGGCTGTATTTTAAAGAATCCTTATTGAGGTTGCAGGAACAAACCATCCCGATGTGTAGAAAGAATAGTAAATATGGCAGGCGACCAGCTTGGCTTAACAGTGAAATCCTTGCTGATCTTAAACACAAAAGAGAAGCTTACAAGAAATAGAAGAGTGGACAAATGACCAGGGAGGAGTATAAAAATATTGCTCAGGCATGCAGGAGTGAAATCAGGAAGGCCAAATCACACTTGGAGTTGCAGCTAGCAAGAGATGTTAAGAGTAACAAGAAGGGTTTCTTCAGGTATGCTAGCAACAAGAAGAAAGTCAAGGAAAGTGTGGGCCCCTTACTGACTGAGGGAGGCAACCTAGTGACAGAGGATGTAGAAAAAGCTAATGTACTCAATGCTTTTTTTGCCTCTGTCTTCATGAACAAGGT